GGGAGGGGCCGCGGGCAAGGCCTCCGAGAGACGCCCCTCGCCACGGGCCACGGCAGCCTCCCGTGGCCACGAATGAGCCAGCAGGCCCGGGATCGGGCCTGACCAGAGAGGACACGCAGCGTAGCCCAACCGGCGAGGCGCGGGTGCTTTTCTTCTCACCTGGAGACGAACCAGCCCCGCCTGCTTTCGGGGCCCTGGAAACGAGCGGGGGCTAGTTTGTGTAACGGGGGAAACGCACCACTTCCTCCAGGGCCTGGGAGGGTGCTGTGACGGGCGAGGCTGCGGCGAAGCCCCGGGTGGACCTGCGTCTCCTCGGCTGGAGCTCAGAGTGTCCCCTGCTGTCCCGTCCACCCCTTAGGGCGCTGTTTCTCCAACAGGCCCCTGGGTGTCATCCATACTCACAAGACACTCAGATCACTTGGCAAAACTGTTACCTCAACTGTTCACAGCAAACATGCAACAACGGAGAAACTTACCGTACAGAACGATCTTTTAAGTAATAAAGACAGTATGTTTCCATTTGCTAAGGAAAGGGACCCATTTTATAGCAAGGGTGAGACTTTAGAAATGGAGAAACGCAGGCCAGTCTTTGCGGTTTTGCTTTTAGTTTCAGTTGTTTTGGGGACGGCGAAATATTTAAGAAATAAACACTAAGTGTGCCTCAAGTGATCAAAACAACCAACACACAACCTGAAGGTATTTCCAATATTTGGAAGCCACCCCTTTATCACTTTGCAACACAAACACCTCTTCAAGGTCAAACGTGTTTGCTTCAAAACTTAACATCGTTCACGCGGCCGGCGTGGCTCAGCAGCTGAGCACCAACCTGGGACCCAGGAGACTGCGGTTCGATTTCACGGTCAGGCCACATGCTGGGGTTTCGGGATCGATCCCGAGTGGGGGGCGTGCAGGAGGCAGCCGATCAATACTCTCTCATTGCTGTTTCTCTCTCTCTCTCCCCCTCTCCCTGAAATCAATAAACACATAGTAAAAAAAAATTTTTTTTTCTAAAACCCATAAATCTCAATCTCAAGTTGAACTGTCGCCTCTCCTGGAACCCGTATGTTCCTTCCCGATAGTCTAGTCCACAAGCAAACTGGACGCAGGGAAGTGAGAGCCTGTCTCTGAGATGATCCCCATTTTTTAGATCCACGCGTTATATCACCGCAGGAAACAGACACACACGCTTACTCAATGCAGGAAAATCCTATCGTGTTTCAGCGTAACAAGTAAATGACGCTTCTGGGATGTTTCACGTGTAGACACAAAGGCCCTTCAATAAAAAACAAGAGCACAAGGCTCCTGCACAGAGTGTGGTCCTTCTGCGGCTCCCGGGTTGAACTCACACAGGCCGCTCGCACCCTGCGCCTCCCCCTCAGGAAGATGCTTCCAGACAGCCCCAAACCTGGGCTTTCTAAATTTGGAACAGGGATGGCCCAGTTACTGCAAGTGGTTTAGAGGGACAAAGAAAGAAATCTTAAAAACATCCAGATGAAAAGGGCTTTAAAGAGCCAATACTGCTAAATATAATCCAGTGTACAGACACAGCCCATAGCTGAAAGTAAATTAAACACCTGTGGTCTGAAAAGCAGGTAGGACTAGCCCAGTGTCTGCAGGGGGTGGGACTGGGGCCCTTGGGAACTAAACAATGAAAGGAGAGAGGCCAGGACCGGAGTGACCAGAGCCACAAGAGGTACGAGGCACCTGCCCGGCCCGCAGGCAGATCCGGGAGCCCGGCAGGTGGCCAGGGCTGGCACGTTTCCCTGAAATGACAAGGAGCCTCCAGTCTGGGCCTTTGCAGATGCTTAAAAAGGTGTGAGCCAGGGCTCTCCAGGCAGCTCGAGGCTGCTGGGGACTCGGCCCGAGTTGAGTCCAAGGGCTTCGGAAGGAACAGTATTTAAATCCGACCAGCAAGGTGCTGGTTTGTGCAAAGGCCCAGAGCTCATTTGCGTGGCTCAGACCAGACCCCAGCACCGCAGGCCGGGCCCGGGAGCCAGGCGGGCACACACGGGCTTCGTCTCGTCCCTAAAGGACTCCAATGCCACACACAACTCCTGGCCCCAAAACCAAGCCCGTTCATGGCATGAGGACGGGGGGACTGTTGTTTCTCTAGTAACAGACCTGAAAGGTTAGGCAGTGGGAGCCTCAGCACCAGCCCAGGATGTGGGGTGACAGCTGACGTGAGAGCAACGCGAAGGATCACTTACGTGGTGTCAAGGGTCCGATTGATCTTCGCGATTATCCCCAGCGAGGGGTCAATCTTGGCGTACATGGTGGACATCACGCCCACTACCACGATGAGCCAACTGGACGGGCTGGCCGGGTACACGCCAGTGATGATGCCATTCTGAAAAGAGACAGGCCGTGAGGGGTCCCTCCCACAGCATCGCAGGGCCCCGGGAGGGGGTGTTTGCAGCAGGGGACCACACTGTCGCTACTGAAAACCTACCCCGGAGGCTCCAGCCGCAGCTGCTCCAACTCCTGTCCAGCTCCTTCCCGCCCTCTCTTCTGAGCCAAAACCCTCCCTTAAACAGTTTCCCCCAGAGCGACCCCAGGACGCGAGAATCGCCCGGGTCTAACGCAGATTCCCGAGCTCCGCCCAGGCTGAAGAATGACACCCGTGGGTTAAGGCCATCACTGAGCCAGCCGTGAAGTCCTCTCCCCAACCTGCTACACCCGAGATGCCCGCGACCCCCTCTCCAAAACCACCCCTCACCCCCGACTCGAGATGCCGCTTAACCCCGAAGTATTTACAGGAGACCTCACTGCAGGTCGAGAATTTGCTGTAAGGGACTTCAGCCCCAACCCCCCCCCCAAAAAAAAAAACCCCCAAAAAGCAGCAGGAAAGGGGATGGAAGGTAATGAATCAGAACTGGCAAAATATCGCCAGCGGTGGAAACTGGGAGGGGAGAGCGTGGCTCCTTCTCTTTACTTTTGCGTGTGTTTCAAAACTTCCACGTAAAAAAAGCCATAAATGAGATTGATTTGACCCAGACAGTGGGTTAAAAGCTCTCAACGCTTTATCCGAGTTTTTTAGCAGCGACTCGCGTCCCTACATATTACTTCCATTGGGATTCCCACTGTCCAGAGGGAAGAGATTTTTTTAGGGGGGGTGGATTAAGCTAAATTAAAATGGAGGGAGGAAGGCTCTAGATAAAGCGTCCCTCTCACCATGCCCTCCCCCTGCAGCTGCTGGCAGCCCTGCCCACCCCTCGCTTTTCCTCTGAGCAATGAATCACAGGGTCCTCCGGTAAACCCTTTGGTACAGGGAGCCATGCACTGTTTCCTATCATTTATTTTCCCACCTACTGGCCTTGCCTTCTCCGCTGCACGACAAGGTCTTTAAAATCAGGGACCACATCTCCACTGGGCTGAAATGAAGGACACACCCCTCGGCCCTTCCACTTTCTATTTCCCACCATTGGGAGGTAATGAGGAGCTCTGGGGGCAAGGCCAGCTGGGCAGACTCCGCCCGCCCTGTAGGTGGCGCTCTCCTCCACTTCCAGGGGCCATGAGAGCGTGGAGGGGATGGGCTGGGACCCCTCCAGCACCCGGGCCCAAGACCCCCAGGTAGGCCCACCTCTGATGTCACTGCTCTCACCTGCTCTAGCCGCTGGCCTCCTGCTACCCTCTAAAGACGAAAATGAATTAAAAATACCAACTGTGTGATCTACCCCTGGGGGTTGAGTTGACACCTTTTCATCTTGCTTGAATTTCTAAAACATGGCATTTATTTATTCCTTCTGTGATTTTTATTTTATTTTTTCCATCACCATTTATTTCCCCTATAACCTTCCCCACGTCCACTCCCCCTTCTGTGATTTTTAAAAAAACACTAAATTAGAAAACAAGACATGTGCACCCTAGCCGGTTTAGTGCAGTGGTTAGGGTGTTGGCCCATGGACTGAAGGGTCCGGGGTTCAGTTCCAGCCAAGGGCATCTACCTCGGCTGCAAGCTCCATGCCCGGCCCTGGTTGGGAGGCAACCGATCGATGTGTCTCTCACATCAATGTCTCTCTGTCTCTCTCTNGCATGTGTGGGAGGCAACCGATCGATGTGTCTCTCACATCAATGTCTCTCTGTCTCTCTCTCTCTCCTCCCTTCCACTCTCTCCGAGAAGCGATGGAAAAGATATCCTCAGGTGAGGGTTAAAAGAAAAACAGAAACACAAGACGTGTGCTTAAAAACAGTGAATAACATTCCTCTCTTTCGGGTAAACAGAGCTGAGAACGTGGGGCGTTAGCTGTGCTTGAACCTACACGCGTATTTCTCAATAGCGGAATATTTTACAGCGGGCCACCCGCCCCACAGACTCCCTGCAGCTTCACGCAGCCAGAAACAGTCCTGCTTCTAGAAGGTGAGCAGGGGACACCGGCTCTTGTCCTTACTCCTGCTTCTACCGAGCAGGCCACTCACCCTTCTCCAAGCCCCGACTTCCCCGCCTGCCCGACAGGGTGCCCCGCCGGCCTCCGGAACGTCTCAGTAACTCAGGGAGCCCGTGTATGTGAACTCGAGCCCGAAGTATCACGAAAATACGAATTATGTGCCGATTACGGCTCTGGGATACGGATGCTTCCGGCGCTTCGAAAGTGCCCGGAGGACGGCGCTGTGTCCCCGGGGACACGGCCCAGATTAGGCCCAGATTAAACAGGGACCCGCAAACCTTGAATCTGATGAACTTCTTCTTCCAGGAGTGCAGTCCCGACAGATAGATCTGCTTAAGGGCCTCGTGGCTCAGCCGCAGGTCGATGCCGTCCGGGGTGACGGTGAACTGGAAAGCCACCGCTTGGTGAGCTTCTGCCATCTTTACAGTCTCCTGGGAAGAGACGGAGAGAAGCGATCACCGTGGAACGTCCTACTAGATGTCAGGAAAACCCTTACAGGGGAGTGTAACTTGGTTGGAATTTAAGTTTTCCTTCCCCATTTAACAGGTTTAACATTTTTCGTGAATGGGTCTGATTTTTCGATGACGGGTTGCCTCACCCTCTCCTGTCCAGCAAGATACAGGCGCCGGGTGACCCGCAGAGTCTGGGAGTGCAACCCCTCGGCCCCGGCCCAGCCTCCAAGGCCCAGGCTGGTGGAAACGGAAACCCTTACTCCCCCACACCCAACCCGGGCCCAGCCTTGGCCGTCCACCAAACCATCCCTCCTGGCCAGCAGCCCAGGCCCAACAGAAGTGACACAGGAAGACGGTGGCTGTTTAGCAACTAGCTTGGCAGAGGCAAGTTCCATTCCTGCCCTGCAGCCACCTGGAGGCCACAGATGAGTCCACAATGGCCCAGAGCCCTTACCTTCAGATAACAATGCTCAACTGACACTAAAGGCCATGGCCTCTGGGCTTCCTCCTTGGAGGCTGCGAGGCTGGCTGCAACTCAAGTCACACTCTCGAGGGTCAAAGGTCCCGGCAGGCACCGGGGCGAACATTCCTGGAGCACTTACCCCCCCACACACTGAGCACAGCCCCCCAGCTAGCTCCCCCCCAGCAAATGAAAGCACATTTATTTCAGCTGCTTCGGAATCCACAGTATAGTCTTTGTCTCCTGTCATCCCAGCTCCCCATCTGCTTCGTTCTAGGGACATGCGACCCCTAGAAGCGGCGACCTGGGCCCTCAGGGCCTCCCCCCATTCCACCGGCCCTTCACCACCTTCTGGAGGTGGTGAGCGAGTACATGACCTCCTCCTGAACGATCTGCACAGAGCACCACATGGGTATAAAAAGGCAGCTGAGAAGGAAAACACCATCACTCACCATAAAAAAAATCTAAATTGCGTGGTGTGTTTTCTCATCACACGTAATTTCCCCCGTTTTTACCCACTTAACCCTGTTAAGTGCAGAGGTGGGACCATTACAAAGACGCCCAGTTACAGAAGCGGAACTGGCCTAATCTCCACCCGATCCGAGCAAACGAGACCAAGAGCAGGCCCTGGAAAGGAACCCAACTTTCATTCATTGGATCATTCAACAAGTGTTTCCTGACTGCCGCCTACGTCCCAGCTCCGGAGGATTGAGACACGGGCAGAAAAGGTCTCCCTGCCCCCAGACAGGGGCAGGAAGACGGGGTGCTAGAGAGGACCTACCAGGTGACATTGATGCTCAGGAGAAGAATCAGCCAGAGGGCAGGCCTTTCAGGCCCAAAGACAGACCTGTGTAAGGGCTCCAGGTAGAGGTCAAGGGCAGGGTGGCTGGGGTCAAGGGCAGGCAGCTAACTTCAGAGGAAGGCCCGGAGACAGCCTCGAGAGGCAGCTGGGTCTTACGTGAACGGGCCATGGAGACGCACCAGGAGCTCTGAGGTGGGGTATCCGGCACCGTTCTGTTTTAAGAACACTCTGGCTGCCACGGGGAGTGGGGGTGCCGGGGAAGCAAGACCAGGAGGAGGCTGCGGGTGTCCCAAGAGAGAGTGTCCTGGAGTGGGAACAGAGGGGACGGGAGGCCGGCCTGCTCCCGACAGGCTTCAGAGGCACTCATTCCAGGGCTTCCGGTCCGAGCCACCCTCCCAGCGGAGGCTTTGGGCCTGAAAGGGCTGCCCTGTGGATGATTCTTCGCATCCGATGTCGCCACAGGCAGAGGGAGAGGCTGGGATGGACACACCCAGAATGCCAGCACACAGAGCCTCCATGGTTCTGCTTCGGTGATTTCGAAAAAGTAAAAAACAAAAAGCAATATAACCTTAGCTGAGTGCAATCTGCAACCATTCTGGAGCATTCACGTACCACTTAGCAAGCTGGAGCCTGGCCAATTTCAGAGAAACATCCCATAGGGATCAAACCCCGCAACCTAGGTGTGTGCCCTGACCGAGAGTCGAACCCGCAACCTTTCGGCGTCTGGGATGACGCTCCAGTCAACTGAGCTACCCGGCCAGGGCTAGATGGGTTTTGGTTTTTTTTTTAATTGATTTCACCGACAGAAAGGGAAAGGGGGAGATAGAAACATCCATGATGAGAGAGTCACTGATCGGCTGCCTCCTGCACGCCCCCCACTCGGGATCGGGCCCACCACCCGGCGTGTGCCCTGACCGGGAATCGAACCGCGGTCCCCTGGATCCTAGGCTGATGCCCGACCGCTGAGCCCCGCCGGCCGGGCTACATCGGGTGTTTGATGGCAGCAAGCTCCCTAAGCAAAGGCCTGCCACAGGGAACGGAGATGGCACCCAACAAGCAGCTCTGGATCCACCTCTCGAAACGTATCCAAGGGGCTGTAAGATTCTCCCAGAGCCTCCTGGCGATCTCAGCCCCAACCCACCCCAGGAGGATTCTGCCCGGCGGGCATCACGGCAAAAAAAATTACGTGCCCCTTACAATGAGGTACCCGAGTTCTCAAGGGCTCTCTACAGGACATGAAGTGATTACCAACAGCAGTCGATTAAATATAAACACAGCATTTGTAGGCAATTCTCTCCGAAGGTACGTGTGGACGTTTGCTCAGGAGTCTCAAGCACGGCTGGGGAGAGGCAGAGACGGAGATCTCACACCCTTTACGGCCTTGTCAGAACTCTGCATTTGACTCAGGATGTGCTGGTTTTGACTGGCCCAGCCTAACGACTAAATATGAGAGTCCTAAATGCCCCCGAAACACACAATTTGCTTCTCTCCTTTTGCTGTAGCCAGGATGGCTGCCCTGAACTGGCCTCTCCCTCCTGGAGCCATAAGTGGGAATTAGTGAACAGCCATCCAAAAAGCTCCCTGTGCAAACCTAATGAGCTAAAATCCCACCTCAGTCCTGGCACTACAGCCTTATGAGAGCCTAACATTTGTAACTGGAACACTGCCTCCTGCAGACGGCAGGGAAATGCAAATCAAGCCGCAGCAAGCCCTGGCCTGGTGGCTCAGGCGGCTGGAGCATTGCAACGACTGATCTCTCTCTCCCCCTCAATCTCTCTAAAAAAATCAATTAAAAAATTAAAAAATAGCCCAGTCAGTGTGGCTCAGTTGACCTATGAACCAGGAGGTCACGCTTCGATTCCCCATCAGGGCACATGCCCACGTCAAGGGCTCGATCCCCAGTAGGGGGTGTGCAGGAGGCAGCCAATCAATGACTCTCATCATTGATGTTTCTCTCTCTCCCTCTCCCTTCTTCTCTCTGAAATCAATAAATATATTTTTAAAAAATTAAAAAATAAAATAAATAGAAAACATATCCTCAGGTGAGAATAAAGTAAATATATACGTATGTACACAAATATACATATACA